TTTAAAAATATAATTTCACTATCTAGTATGTACACTGTATAAATAAGTTATACAGTTATGTACTGTATTATATAGTATATATACTGTATAAAGTCATACTTAATAAATTGTAATACTGGTTTTGCTTCTAAAATCAACTTTGAAGTTTCTGTATTACTTTTAAAATAACTTACTTTAGTTAAGAGTTCTTTGTACCTAGCTTTCCAATAGCGATTGTTTTCTTTACAAATTATAAACAAATGTTAAATTATTTCTCAGAAAGTTTTCTGTAATCACTAAAATGGTATTCAGATTACTGTCCTTTAGCGTGATAATCTCTTTCTACAATAATTTAAACAAGGTAATGATACATGCATTTTAAAATGCATTACTTGGGCTGGGGATTTACTTCAGTGTGTAAGTACCTGCTTGGCAAGGGCGAGGTCATGAGTTACCAGAAAAAGAAAAAAAATACATTACTTGGTTTGTTTTGCTAATACACTTTATAGAATTTTTCAAATATGTTAATCAATTAAATTGACTTCTAAATGTCACTTCTGGTCCGATCCTTAATGAGTTTTATCAAGTCTATTTTAGTCATTAAATGAATTGGAATCTTTCTTTTTCTATTTTATGGGAAAATATGAGTCTGCTCACAATCATGCAATTTTTGAATCTCTGTAATAAGTTATATGCAAAATCTTCCAAATATTCCTCAGTAAAATTTGAAATAAGTATAATAAAAATTTGTTATGAGGATGAGATATATCACTCATATTAGTGACAACAGTTGATTTGAAAGTGTATTTACTGGTGACTGATTTTCTTCTGAGTATTGTTTTAAAATAATAGTGATGTATGAGGTAGTTTCTGGTATCATCCTTTTAAGTAAATTATAAAACTCAAAATCAGTGAAATGAAGAAGCTTAAAGTCAGGTGGTTAATAATACATAACAATAAAGATTTTGCAAAGGAATATCCCATTCTTTTGTTGCTTTAATCATTACGACTTGAAAAATTTATTATAAGCGGAGCAAATGGCCAGAAGTAAAACTGTGTTTCATTGAGCAAGATCAAACACTCCTTTTTTCCTTTTTTGAAAATGTGTGATCATAAAATAATCAAATATTTGAGAATTACAGTTTTGTTACTGGAGTCTCCCTATATTATATAGTTATACTTTAACTAGTATTTACTGAACATTAATCCTTCCTGCCTCCCCCAAGGCTCATTCTTTTCACTTCCTTCTCTTAGTGATAGGAATAAGAGGTTTTTTGTGTTGTGTGTGTTTTTTCCTGAAATCACATATATATGGACTTTTCTGTCCTACGTTCAGTGTGTGTCTTAAGTAATTGTGATTATAAGATAACAATTCAAGTAAAACTCACTCAAATAATAATTTAACAATTCAATGATTTAATGATTGTCTATGATTACTTACTCAGAGAAGACACATAAACTATAGTAATGGTAGATTTATATAAAATAAGTTGCTAAATTTATGTCCTGGTTTTGGTTTCTAAATTCAATATTGAAGTTTTTATATTTCATATTTCTGTTAATAACAAGGCCAATTACAAGTATATAAATTTTACTCATGGTAAGAGTTCCACAATTTAAGGTAAGTTAAAGAGGCTGCTAAATTAATGGAGATAAAAAGTCTTATTCCTTATTTTGTAGAAATTGTAACAATGATTATTTATATTCAAAAGAATGCAAGAAAAACAATCTAATAATATTGTCAATGGAATATGATTTAGAATAAAAGCAATTTATTATCACAAGTATTATTAGTTGTCTGTAATGGGCATCACAATCTCAAACTTCATGTAATATTTATTATACTACAAAGCTACACAGTGATAAAACGGCTTTGTTTTAGAAAAAAGAAAAAAAAAAGACAAAGGGCTCTATGGAACAGAATAGAAGACACAGAAATAATTCCAGAGATATTCAAATATCTGAACTTTGCACAAAAATGACAAAAACATATATAGAGGAAATATACCTTCTTTAACAAATGATGCTGAGAAAACTGACTTTCCACATTCAGTCTAGATGCAAATCTCTCAACAAGTTTTTGTAAAATCAAAGATCTAAATGTTAGAAAAGAAACATAATCTGATGGAAGACAAAATAGTTAAAACTCCTGAAGACATTTTCTAGGCAAGGTATGTGAGAAACATAAAATATATATATAAATTATATATATATATAATATACACATAAAAAAGATATAAAATGTATGACATATATAAAATATATAAAAAAGAAAATATATACATATATTAAAATATATATATATAAAAGAAAAAAATAAAAGATAAGAGAGAGATCTTTTGCAAAAGGAAAGGGGACTAAGACAAAGCGAGAGGGTAGAGAAAAAATAGGAGATTTAAAAAAAAGAATTAAGATCTGTCGTGTACATATACCAACCTCCCACAGGTAATACAATCATTATGTGCTGCAAAGCTGAACCAATAAAAAAGACCTTATAAACCCAATTCTTAACCACTTATTAAAAACAAATGACCAATTTTTATTTCTCATAATTCGGGGGATTCATGTGATTATTTGAAATGGCTGAAAAATTAGAACTGGACAAGTGACGTGCCTGGGTGAAGGAGACTTACTCTCCATGTAAGTTTTCATCCTTAGAGAAGTTAAACAGCTTTAGCACACACAGTCCAGGGCTAGTGCACCAAATAAGGGGAAATCAGAAGCTGACTAGTGTTTTAATGTTAAGTTTCTGGTGCGTTCTGCTACGTTATGTTAGTTAAGCCAAACACAAGGCAAGCCCATATTCAAGGGGGCAGAATTGAGTTTACTTCCTAGAAAAACTTGCTTAGTTATATAATAAAGGGACATGCACCAGGCGAGCAGGTTTCCTTAAGGACCGTTTCTTGTTTTGTTTTGTTTTATTTTGCTTTGGTTTTTTGTGGTATCTGGGATCGAACTCATGACTTCACACTTTCCAAGCAGGCGCCTACGCCAATGAGTTAAATCCTTGGCCGTGAGGACCATTATTTTATTAATCTGTGATATAAACCAAGTGAAAGCTTAACCCAGTGCCTTTCGAAAGATAAAGCCTATATTTTTTTTTTAACCTCATGCAGAGCTGTAAAATGCATTATATTGGATTGATAACCTCATCCATCAATCACTCAGTTTTTTAAGACCTTATTGGGAAATGAGGGTGCTTTTATCATTTCATAATATAAAATCAGCTCTGTGAAATATTGAAATCTCAGCTATAAAGGAATGTAAGACAGTACTACAAGATATTTCAAATGATGTTAACATAGGAAATATTGACATAATTTATAGAATAGAATTTTAAATAAATCATTTTGATAAGTTTAGCATTTGAAGGAACAGCAAAACAGTGTGTCACTTTTTTTTTAAATAACATCAAGTATGATGTGTCTATGGGGAACAGATCAATGGTTTGCTTAAAAAAAGGAGGAAAACAAGCCTGTTTTGCATTTTATTATATGTTCAAAATTACAAATTGCTTCCCCAAAGTATATATTGCTTTATGACTTAGATCCAGCACTCATTTATGGAGCATTTCAAATACTTTGGATACTATTATTGAGTGTTAATTGCTAACCTTCACCAGTGGAAGAGAGATAACATCATACGCATTGTTGCCCTCAATAAAAGATGAAAATGGGGCTCACAATACTAACTGTCTATCCAAGTTTTAACAAATGTCATGGGAATCTAATATCCTATTTTTAAGCATTTTTCTCCAGTGCTATCCTAAAAAGTTAGAACAATTCATTATCAAACACAATGAATTTTTTTTCAAAAATATTCCCTTAGATAATTAAAAATAAAAATAAGGCAGTTTATTTTAAAAAGACTTTTAGATAAAAAACAACTAAAGTTTATTCACACTAATTATAGAAGTAACATAGTAGATAGATACTTTTATATACATTTTTCCATTTAATTCACAAAAATCCTTCACAAAAGAAATACTTTTAATTTTTAATTTTTGGTTTAGGAAATAGACTTAAGACATCTAAGTAGAATCATCTCATATCATTTATAACAGAATCTTTGTAATAATTTTTTAAAAAATATTTCCAATGACACAATAATATAGAGAAAAGTATGAAATCCATTACATCTTTGTTGTATATTTTTAAAAAGACTTGATTATGTTATTTGTGATAAAACTAGAATATATGAGATGTTAGAAATTGCACAGTAGCAAATTCATAGATTTCTTATCATCATTTAAAAATTCTCAAAGGTTGGAATTTAATATTTGAATATTATATTCTAATAAGTTTTTAAGAAATGTGAACACTTCTTTGAAGAAAATAAATTTTGTTGATGCACTACTAAAATTTAATAAATTTTGAAGCTTTAAACTATTATAATGAAATATAGTGGTCACTATGTTTCAGGAAAACTATCATGTAAATAATTCACTTCCTAGATAAAAATTAGTTTCTATCTCCAAGCAAAGTATTTAGAAAAAAAATTAAATGCTATCTTTTTTCAGTTTCCTATCAATTCAAAGCAAAATTTCGCATGTTAAATTCTTTTGAAACTCTGGCCTCCACTAAGATCTTACATTTATCTCTTTCTTGGATTCTTTTCAAACTCCATGCCCCAAATTAAGTCTGTTTAATTATACTAAATACATCTTACTATACTATTCTATTAACTAGTAATTGTAAATGTATTTTTTCCTGAAGTATAATCTGTGTAAATTTAAGAATAAATGAAGAGTATTTGAAGGTTATTTTTCTATTCAGTACAAGTATGTCACTTCTAAATTATGTACTTACATTTACAAAGGAACCCAATACAATCAGCTGCTAAAATTAACATATCTATAAAAAAAACGAGAGATTCATCCTAAAATATTATTTGTCAACATTTTAAGGTAAAGAATTTATTTTACAAGTAGATGATTAAAATGAATGTCAAAGACAATTGTTGAATTATAGTGTGAGCTTGAGGTAGTAATTCAAAGGATCTCCTTCCGGATAAAAACTTACCAGCGAATTTGATATGGAATTTATTTTCAGGCTTTAGTATCTGGACATACAAAGGGCAATTGGGAGCAAAATCTTTTACGGCCCAAGCTCTTAAAATAGTTTGGTGATCCTGCAATGAAAAAAAAATTCAAATATTGAGATAAATGTACACATTTATAGTATACAAAGTAAAATAATCAGTAATTTTGTTAAATGATCACAGCCTAGGTTAATTAACACACTGAATAATTCATTGCAAGGAGTCATTTTCGAGAACATTCATTATCATTTCAGTACAGGACATAACAATGCGTAATATAATCGATGCTAACTGCCTGTATTTATAAAATTAAGAGACCAAGAAAGCAGAGATTAAGAAAGGAGTAGTTAAATAAAATTAAAAACAATTTCTCCAGAAAATTTTTGTGACTCAATAACCTACAAAATTGGAGCACAGCTGCTCTAGGACTCAGTCTTCATGGAGGAAGAAAATACAAACTCATAACATTAAAAAAAAAAATTAGAAAGCTTGCTAAAATAAAAACAAATATAGTGACCATATATGTAGCTAACATTTTAGCCTACTTTTCTAATGTAATTGTAATGGTTAAAGGATTTTGATTGTGCTGGTGGGGAATGTAGAAAAAAAAATATTGAGATATAGTAAAATATACTGAAAAGTTATGACACTAACACTAAAAATGAAGCTCCATGCTTAACATGAAATCTTATGCACAGTCCTCACCTCCTAAGCAATTATTAATGAACTGAATAGACAAAAACAAAATATTAGAGAAACATGCTCCAAAGTATATACATGCACAGGTTACATACAATCACATATTATGGTGGTGGGGAGCAAAACCTAAGACAATTTTTAAAAGGAAGCACAGAGATGATAACACTGTTAATATAGTAGTATATAATCTTGTATAGATATTCAGATTTTTGATTATAGTTTTGTGCTTTTGCTTTTATTTTTGCTTTTGAGACACAGTCTTGTTTGTATTTTAGGCTGGCCTTGAACTATGTAGTCCAGGTTGGCCTGCAACACATGCTGTTCCTTCTGCGTCAGCCTCCCCCATTCCCCAGTGCTGGGGTTACAGGCATATATCATTAAAACTGGAAAATGTTCACTTTAATTTAATTTAGTCTAATTTAGCTTAATTTAATTTAACTAAAAACAACTCCTACTGTGAGGTATTTGGTGATGAGACTGAGGACTACGGTGATTGGGTCATGAGATCTCCATACCAGTAGCATTAATGATACTGTTGCAGAGACTCTAGAGACTTTCCAACTCCTCCAGGTATGTCAGGACACAGACAGAGAAGAGAACACAGTCCCCTCCAGATACTAAATCTGCTACCACACTGATCTTGAACTTCAATGTATGAAGAACAATGTATGAAGAAATTTCTATTATTTATAAGCCACCTACACTGTTGAATTTTGCTACAGCATCCCAGATGAAGACAGTAAAGTTAGGTTACATGAAAGTCGGTGAATAATAGAGAAGAACAGTTTCAGTAAAAAATATGAAACTTTTGTCGATTATTCAAAGCATGAAGACATCAAAAATGCTACTAACATCAAATGTGTATCTGTTAATTCACATTAATTGCTATGGAGGCAAATGCTCCATAGCAAATATGCTTCTAAATCATTGTATGAAGATTAGAAATAATGTAATGGCACATTGTTATTTTCTTCACCAGAATTACAAAATTTAATGCAACAGTTAAAAATGAAGGTAAATTAATATACTACTAAAACATTTTATTTATTTTATTTCAGATTAGGTTAAAGACAATGGGCAACTTCAAAATTACTGTGCTGCACTGCATTTCAATACCTAACTGAATCTGGACAAGTTACAGTTCTTCATCTGTAAAAGTAGAGACCTTATCTCTAACAAGACTGCACTGCTGAAATAATAGATAGTACAATGTAAAAATCTTAGTAAGGGTTAGTAGTTAGTTAATATTAAGTTAACACAATTTTTCTTATGTGAGTCATCTCAGGAATAGTAATAAAATCATAGTCTTTGTTACTTTTTTCTCATTGTCAAGACAAAAATACCTAACACTGAAAATGAATGAAGGAAAGCTTTGTTTACCTTACAGGTTTTGGAGGTTTCAGTCCATATTCAGTTGGCTCCAAGGTAGCACCAGTGGCACAGCTCAGGGACACCCATTCATGGCAGCCACAAGCAACAAGAGCAAAAGGACAAGAAAAGGGGAAAGCAGCCTCCTTCCGTCCCCTATATTGTGTGCCAGTTACGGGCCCTTGGATGGGTGCAGCATTCACACCACCAATCCCAGCACTATATAATCACAAATGCTAGATTCCACTGCCTCCATGACTGCATGAGGCTTGGGGCCCACTCAAACATAAACCATAACAATCATTAAAAATAGAAGGTAAAGAACAAGGACGACTTCCTTGGCAAGAAGATTTTGAACTGAAGTTTGCATGGTGACATCAGCAACAAATATATCAATAACAGAAGAAGGAATACAGGATGCTGAGATCTACCAACAACACCAAAGAACAAGCTCTTCATATGTTGTTCTTCTTTGGGTAACTTAAAGCCCTGAATAAAAATCTATGAAACAACCACACAAGAGCTCTAAAAATTGAGCACCAGTGGGCCAATTTTGCAGAGGAATTATGCTATAATTCTGTCCTGCTGCTCTGGCCAGAGGGTAGCTGTGGTTAGCAGAGCAATAGAGGGAGGCAAATGCTCCATAGCAAATATGACAAAAATACAGAATGGAGCCTGCAGCAATCACGAACACAGTAAAGTTAGGCAAAGTGAGAGGCAAAGAAGACAAACCAAAAATTATGTTCATAGATTTAAGTACCTTTGACAAAGCTATAAACTATGCATACATGGAGGAGAATAAATGCAATTTGAACTGATATTTGAACCTCTTAAAACTTCAAGAGTGACGAAGTTTGCACTCTGAGTGGAACAAAATTAAAACAAGAGCATAAGTATTTCTTAAAGCAATACAAAAGGACTGAAGGCTCCACAAAACCCAAAATACAATGCAAACTAACTCATGCAGTACCAGGAAAATGTGACCTGTTTTCACAGAAAGCAAACAAAAGGATAACTAGAAGATGTTAGGTGATCTAGGTGTTATATTACAGAACAGGACTAAAAGCTAGTAGTACAGTTATGATTAGAGGTATTGGAAAATATGCTGGAAATAATAAAAACAGGAAATTTAAGCAATTTAAAAATATTTAAAATTAAATACAAGCACCTAATGTTTCTGAAAAATATTTACTGGATAGACTTTGAAGAAGAATGGAATTGACAGAAGACACAATTAGTGAAACTGAATGTGATCATAGATCAATAAAATTTATCTGATAGAAAAAAGAAACAGAAAAAGAATTCTTTTTTAGAAAGAGCAAAGCATGAAGTCCAGATACTTCTGAAACAATGTAAAAAGAGCTTAATTATGTAATTCCCTCCCCAAGTGGAAGACACAAGAAAAGAAAGAAAATGATTTGAAGAAACAACAGCTGGAAACTTCCCAATTTTATGAAAGAGGAACTCAGCAAACTCCAAACTATTTGACAGCACTGAAAGAAAAAGAATCCCTTGGCTGGAACTCTCATCGCATATCATTAAACCACAGAGAGAGGGGAATTAAAGGACAAAGGGTCAGGATTTGAAATGATCATGATATGTTACAGGCATGTACCAGTTTCCCAAAACAAACACCACTGTTCTTTACTGCAAGGATAGGCCAAAACAATTTAAAAGATAAGAGTAACTTGCCTAAGGCATGAGAGAAAGATGAAAGAGAGAGAGAGAGAGATTGATTAAGGCAAACATGGCAAAATACCCTGAATTTCAGAATATTGAAAAAACACAATGAAAACCCTTTAAGGTCAGACCTTTCAGCTAGTGAAAAATGATGCAAAGAAGAAACTTTTAAAGAAATTAATTCAACAAAATAGGCTCAGTATGATACAACAAGAAAAGCTAAGACAATTCCTAAGCTTAAGAGAAATGATATCAGATAGCAAATTAGAACTTGAAGAATCACAGTCTTGGAAATGGTTAATGTATGAAAATGACTCTAAAGTAGATAAATATGTCTAAAGAAAACTGTCTAGTGTTGTTTTATGAAGGCTCTAATGTAAGGAAATATTACATCTAATAACTATAAATGTGGAGTTTCTAATTTTAACCAGTGAAACAGTATGAAAAGATAAGGATTTGTACTTTAGTTCTTTGGTAAGTCACCAGAAAAAAAATTCAAACCACACAATTAAAAGTTGATAGCTATGTAAAACTGAATGCCTTAAAAATTCAATGAAAATAATCAAAAAGGTAAAACAGAAGAATGAACAACAGCGAGAAAAAATTGAGATAGAACTGTACCTAACAATAGCATTAAATGTTAATAGATGAAATATAAAAGCAAATATCAGAGAGATATGAAAACAAATATACAGTTACAAGTTATTGAGAAAAAATGCATTTTAAAATGAAAGTTCCAGATGAGGTTAGAAAAAAAAAACCTGAATTACAGTAACAAATCAAACAATTCAATTTAAAATTTGACCAAAATCTGTGTCAGTTGAAAAATATGTCAATTTAAAAATTGACCAAAAATTGCACTAAATGTTACTCAGATCACAAATGAGAATATTGAAGGTACACAATATCATTATTAGTGAACTGCAAATTAAAGCAGCAAGATTCCACCACCCAGTTACTAAAATGGCCAAAACCAAATCATTAAAAACACAAGAAACTAGTGAGAATGTACAATAGGAACTTTGATTCATTGTTGCTGAGGACATTGATTTTTGGAACACCATTCAGAAATTATAACCAAGTAATTAATAGTTACCAAAGTTCTTTGAAAATTTATGCTGACATGGTTTATATGTCCTCTCAAACTCTTGTGCAGTTTTATGGTGACTGGATCATGAGTGCACAGCTAAATGCACTATTGGGAAATGAAGTCTGGTTAGAGGTGATGTGTCACTAGGTGCATAGCCTGGAAGAGTATCTCTCCCTCTGCCTTCCTTCCATCCCTCTGCTTCCTGCTGCCACACCATGAGCTGTTTCTCCTCTGCCATTCCCTGGCTTGGAAC